CTCCTTTTTGACAGTTGTCACTGGAACAGATGCCCCCATCGAAAGACGTCCACGTTTTTCCTGTTCTGGTGACAACTCAAAACTTCACATTTTTCCTAACATTCAGAGATAGTGGTCAGAGTTTAACAGGACAATAAAAGAGAATTATAAGAAAGCAATACAAATGTACAGGGCTCTTATCCTTTCACAGTCTACCCAAAACTAAAACATGCTTTGCCTTTAGTTCTACCGAATAAAGTTACATAGTTCATCAGGTTGACAAAAAGTCTCAAGGCCATCAAGTTTAACCAAAAAGGGCATCTAAAGACAAAACTTGTTTGTTTGCTTTGGATACAGTAGGGAATAGTTAAAGGATATCTAAACCTAAGAACAAAAATGCTATATATATATTATTATTATTATTATTATTATTATTCGAGTTTCACCTGTATATAGACATCTATATCTATAGATATAGATCTATATATATATATCTATAGTTATCTATATACAGGTGAAACTCGAATAATTAGAATATCGTGCAAAGTTCATTTATTTCACTAATGCAACTTAAAAGGTGAAACTAATATATGAGATAGACTCATTACATGCAAAGCAAGATAGTTCAAGCCGTGATTTGTCATAATTGTGATGATTATGGCTTACAGCTCATATAAACCCCAAATCCACAACCTCAAAAAAGTAGAATATTACATGCAATCAATAAAACAAGGATTGTACATAGAACAATATCGGACCTCTGAAAAGTACAAGCATGCATATGTGCTCAGTACTTGGTTTGGGCCCCTTTTGCAGCACTTACTGCAATTACTTTTGCACAATATTCTAATTATTCGAGTTTCACCTGTATATATAGATATAGATATCTATATCTATAGATATAAATGTCTATATCTATAGATATAGATCTATATACAGTATATAGATCTATATCTATATATACACACTTCTGGTTTAGCTATCAGGAAGAAAGTATTGGTGTTTCTTGCATACAACCTGTGAAAGAAATATCTATTTTTGCCACTGTGTATGTTTATTGATTTTTAACGGTAATTGTCTGGTACTTTACCCGGCAGGTGTTAATACTGGCAGTTATTAACTTGTGAAGTGATTTAGATTCCTGTATTCAGCAAGATAATCATTTTCAATTGTAGGTTTATAAATACATTTTTTTTACAAGTTACATTGTGTTGTATTTTATTTGATACGCTTTTCTTTTTTGCTGAGAGTGAAATGTGGCATGTGGAAAACAACTGACAGTCTGAGGATACAGAGCTTGCCCTGTGTCCTTGGAAGTGTACCATTTAGACCTCCAACAGTTGAGTACTCTCAGTGATACTTTTTCATTTGCAATGAAAGTTATATTTTTCAGGACAAGCTTTTGGGGGTCTCCCCCCTTCTTCTAAGGTCCAGGCAGTACTGATACACAATAGTTTTAGTAAAAACCCAAATTATGTTGCTGCACAGCAACTATCAAAAGTTTATATATCCAATTACAAAAAAGGGTAGAGTATACAAAAATAAAAACACTTTTTGTATAAAGTAACTTTTTGCAATATGTCTGTGATATGTGATTATGCAATGGCATAAATATACTTTTGATTATAGTTGTAACCCCTTGTACTTTTTTTTCTATGGCCCGTACCCATGGCTTGATCCAATATATTAATTACAAAACAGGAAAGATACCGGGGTTTCTGAGCGATATGACACCATGGCTTGAAGTTTTGAAAATAGATTTTTATTTAAATATCACATATAATACAAAAATACATACAAATTTGAATAAAAGAAAGGGAGCAACGGCAGTTGCAACCAGTTAAAAACAAAACTAAGCCAGAGGCCTAGACCCATTAAACATGTTCAGACATAACCATAATAAATCAATATATTCTATAAGTCCATTCCCAACTGTCGTTGCTCTCTTTCTTTTATTCAAATTTGTATGTATTTTTGTATTATATGTGATATTTAAATAAAAATCTATTTTCAAAACTTCAAGCCATGGTGTCATATCGCTCAGAAACCCCGGTATCTTTCCTGTTTTGTAATTAATTTATATTTTGTAATTATATTTATATTAAATTTATAATTTATATTTTGTAATTAATATATTTTAGGGGGAGAGATTACACCTGGGGGGCCATGGGCCTTGCTACCCACAACTGTCTTGTAAATTTGATCCAATATGCTGCATAGTTTAGTTATATTGCCACCTTCATTGCAAGCCCATCTTGGTGTCTAAGTAAATGAATAGAGGGGTGTCCTGGTAATTGAAGTACTATTTACTAAAGGCCCGGTCACACTACAGGTGAAACTCGAATAATTAGAATATCGTGCAAAAGTAATTTCAGTAAGTGCTGCAAAAGGGGCCCAAACCAAGTACTGAGTACATATGCATGCTTGTACTTTTCAGAGGCCCGATATTGTTCTATGTACAATCCATGTTTTATTGATTGCATGTAATAATCTACTTTTTTGAGGTTGTGGATTTGGGGTTCTTGGGGTTTTCATGAGCTGTAAGCCATAATCATCACAATTATGACAAATCACGGCTTGAACTATCTTGCTTTGCATGCAATGAGTCTATCTCATATATTAGTTTTACCTTGTAAGTTGCATTAGTGACATAAATGAACTTGCCACAATATTCTAATTATTCGAGTTTTACCTGTATATTGCACTTTGCAAATGTTGTATCAAGCTTTAAAGGAGAACTATGAGGTAAGTGATTTTCACTCAACCTCATAGTTCGAGGCGACGTGTGACAATTAAACTGTCACACATCGGCTCAATAGATGGGGAAGTGAGTCAACACATACCGTCGCTCGCTCACTTCTCGATCATGTCCCTGCAGAGAGCTGTCACTGTCAGTCACGGTTCCCTGCAGGGATTCCCCCCTCCCCTCTCCGATCCCCCAGCGCTGACTGGCGGAACAGATGGGGGAGGTGGCAGGCACAGCTGGCTCTGCCTCTAGAGCTGTCACTCACGCAGCTGGGTGGATCTCGACAGTAATGTCGGGATCCGTCCCGGCTGCGGCAGTCTCAGTTTACCGCAAGCTGTAGTTTGCGATATACTGACCTTTGGGTCACGGGAGGAGGTTAGTATATGCCCGTGACCCTTAGGAGAACTATGGGGAAAAACACTTACCCCATAGTTCTCCTTTAAGCCTCCCTTGCAAACCAAAAATTGGCAGCGGATTCCTATAGCTGGATTCACAGGTGAAAGCAATGACCTCTGGTGTTTGAATGTAATCACACATGGAGCGATTACCTGCAGTTGACAATGGTGGATCACCCCTGGACACAAGCTATTTGTATCCAGGGTTAATCATCTGCCCCCTTACCGCAGGTAATCGATCCATGTGTGATTATTTGATCACCGGTGGACAGCTGCGCCCGCTGTCAACCTATCTTGGCTTTGTACAGTCTGAGCAGCTGCAGCAGTCCGGAGCCATCTGTGATTCTTGCCACAGGAATCCGAAGCTGGACATAAAAGCCCCGTCTGAATGAGGTCTTTTAATGCATTGTGTTACTAATGCCCATTCATTTTGAATGGGCCCCAACACAGGAGAAATCACTTTTGCGCTTTTTTTTTAACGCCCATCATTGTGATTGGGCCCCAACGCAGGAGAAATCACTTCTGCTCTATTTTATTTTAATGCACATTATGCTGTAGTTCAGGTGCTTCATTTATTTTTGTTGGTGTTCCATTAAAAAATGAACGGCAAAGCACATACACAACACTTTGCTGTACATACTTTGCTGAATAAGCCCTAAGCAGTTAATTGTCATGTTATCAATGCTCCAAAGCTGCAAATTTTACACATAACGGCAAATTGTCCGCCCTTTTATTATGTTTATGTTTGTATCCATTTTTTTTAAAAAAAAACAGCATTTCAAACTCATCAAATCATTGCGGGTAGATTCGCCCTGGTACGTTTTTTTCCTTGACCTTCATAAACATTGACAGATATGAAAGGACTGAATACATTTGTGGGTGGAAAAGAAACCTGATACTTATCGAAAAACATGACAGTACTTTGGTATGAAACGAGGTTTTGATATAAGTTACTGCGTGACAACATTGAGCTTGTGACCCAGGGGTTCATGTTGGGATGTACAGGAAGATAGATGGTGCGGTTTGAGCTGCGTTGTCTTCACAATGCCTTTTTATGTCTTCTGATATCTCATAAAGCCATGTATGTTCCTGTCAGATGTTCCCTGATACTGTATTTTACCTCTGCATACATTTTACTGATTTACTGCATAACAGCATGGCACCTTATTTCATAGGCTTCTGTAAGATTACAGCCAGAGAACTGAACATTTTGCTCTGCTTTGTTAAATACTTGTTTATGTAAAAGGGTGTTAACCCCTTCCTGGCAGCCTTTTTAGGAAATCTAAATGTGGGAGGTGCATTATTATTATTATTTTGTTATTATTATTATTATTATACAGGATTTATATAGCGTCAACAGTTTGCGCAGCACTTTACAATATAAGGAAGACATTACAATCACAATACAATTCAAGACAAGATGGTAAGGAGGGCCCTGCTCCTGAGGGCTTACAATCTAAAAGGGAGGGGCAAGTGATTCATGAGGAGGTAGCTGCGTGGGGATAAATTGTTTAAGAACGTGATGGTTGAGTGGTTAGTTTGAGGTGGGATAGGCTTCCCTGAAGAGATGAATCTTAAGGGATTAGTCGGACAGGTTGGGGTAAAGTGTTCTAGAGGATGGGACAGACTGGAAAGCAGGAGGTCTTTGAAAGGGTGTGAGCACCACACTCACACCCTTTTAATCTCATTGGAATCCTGTATCCCTGTAAGATTTGTGGCCTGAAAGGGGTTCTACTAAGATATATTTGAAAAAAAAAGAACATTCCAATGGAATGTATCATGAGATGTGATGGATCTATGGAGTTTTTCAGGGGAAAGAGTAAATGTCCACTCTGAAAAGGACTATACAATGTAACGTTTCTATGTCATCCCTTCTACAGAGCCAAGCACTGCGCCAATAGATGTGAAAGCCACGGGCTTGTCTGCCTCGGAGATCCTGGTTTCATGGAAGACGTCCAAGGATAATGTTGGAAGACCGCTGGGCTTTGAGGTATGCAGAGAAATGTGCTCCTCTTGGGACTCGTTCACTCCAGATGCCTTGTCACATAGTTTGATGCATTTTCAAATGTGTAGACATAGGAAGACTCATTGTTTTCCCTTTCACAACAAAGCTTAGTGCTGAGGTTCATTATAAAGGGCTCCATACTGCATTTTAAGTACGCTTTTCTGTATCTTACCCTTCAAGTCATACGATAGGCTTCTGCTATATAAAAATAACATACCTGAACTGGAAGCTCAGCCATTTCCTTTAAAGATCGAGCCCTAGGAAATTAAAAAACTTAGGCTTCATTCACAATATGTGTGATTTGGCAATCCTGCCACAGGACTCTCCCATTTAGCTGAGACCACTGTTACCCATTTAAGCTAATGACCGGGTGACAGTGGCCGCATCTGTAAGCTCCAGTCTGCATGTAATTGCATATGATACGAGTGGTTTTGAATAGATCACTATCCCTGGACTCACGATAGATGTGAGGGCAGCTTATAGATTCGGCCGCTGTCACCTGTTCATTAACTTGAACAGGTGGCAGTGGCCGCATCTAAAAAAAAAAGTATAAGTACTTGGGTTTCACTTGGTATCCGCCTCTTGCAATCCCCTGTAAAGCAGAGGTCAGAGTTGAAGAGGGAGAAGCAACGCAGTTTGTGCTTTTGTGCTCATGTGCTAACAGGGAACATGCTTATAGTAGGAGAGAGCAGAGAGAGGAAATAATCAGTCTACTGCTTTTCCTTCACTGTCCAAGCACAGGCTTCAAATGGTCAGTCCACCTTAAATTAAACTGCAGATGATACCAAAACTTTTTCTAGTGTTAGATAGAGTAGAGAGGGATTAGAACACGTGTCAGGTTTTTATTGTGTCCCCGTTAGGAAGATTCACCCTCTCTGTCCTAGTGAGCGTTATCACTGAAAGTGAACAAAAAAAATCTCCCAATTTGTGGGTGGTCACCAGAATCGGGATAGATGGGAAATTGGGACACTAGTTCCCAGTGACTGTGCTGACCACCAGGGATTTTCCCTCACTTTGAAGGGATTTTGTCTCACTTCCTGTTATGGCTTTTGGACAGGAAGTGAAGCAAAATCTCACCAATGAGACACAAAGGGCTACAAAACTGACAAGGGTTATAACCTTCCCTTACTCTATCTTAAACGAAAAGACATTTTGACTTCAGTTCTGCTTTAGTATTTACATTTTTGATAGATGCTGGAGAGTTAATCCGGAGTTTCTTATGCTTCTTCGGGTCCTGTTTGTGATTTTCTACCCTCTTGCTCTCCGTTCCTGCCCAGCTGCCTCTCTGTTTAATCGTATATTTATTTTGGAGATGCTGAAACATACAAAGGTGAACTCTCTGGTTAACAAGTACAGAGTCAGGAGCTGTGGCAGGGCAGCAGTTGTTGGAACATCTCACCAGGTCCCACAAATAACTAAAATATCCCTTCGAGGTGGACTGAACCTTTAGGCACTTTTACAGATATTGTTTGTTCTCCTATGTTGGAAAATCTTATATTCAGGACAAACCAGCTCACGATCCCTTGTGTTATGATAAGATACATTTTCCAAAAGTCTTTGCTTGCAGCTTTTGGCTTGATTATCTCCCATGTCATTCACAAGAGGACCAGTTATGAAAGTCTAGAATATGACTTAACTCTGAAATTCTTGAAAACTTTGGCAGCCCCTGCTGTATACCCACGAGGGCTATGGAATTGTACCCACGGCCACTTAATTAAAGCTGTTGCTGACACCTGCGGAGAGCCAGTTCTTAATGTCATCTGGCAATTATAGGTAACTCTAGGTGGTGTCGCCGCGGAGATGGAAGTTGCCGAGAATTCCGTTCTTCTGTGACAGCACCACATATGGAATATAACATTTTGCACACTGTTTTTATTTATGCTTCATTACTGGAAATGTGCAGTTTAATTGCCTCAGCTGCGTTATGGACACGTCAGAGGTTCAATTAGTCATTATGCATCCGTGGGTTTCACATACTAAGGAATGCTTAAAGGGCAGCAATCACCTCGCTCAAATCGATGTACTGCTGAAAGATGCGGTTGTGTCTTAATCTTCTCAGCATGGATTTCTGAGAGTGAAATGCATTGCGGTTTTACAAGTAAAAGTTTTTTGTTTATTATAAAGTACCTATCCCAAGTGCGCTAAGAGGTCAGAGTGGTCACTACATTGAACGGAATGTACGTCTGGTAGAAGAAGAGGTAATGTGGGGGGGGGGTATATTTACTATGCACAGCTACTCTAGATTCTGTTCCAGTTTTTGTAACCAATTAGATTATCCCATCAGTTTATTCAGTTAATCTGTGAAAATGAAATCCAAAAGCTGATTGGTTGCCATGCGCAGATGCTCCAGATTTTGTCTGCTCTCGTCTATAGGAGGGTAAACACCAGTCTTTCTCAACCAGGGTGCCTTCAGGCTTCCTCAGGGGTACCTTTGTCATGATAGGACTCCGTTCTGAAGGGGGGGGGGCTGATGGCTCTTGATGTAATAGAAGGGGGCTTTGATGTGAAGGAGGGTTGAAAGAAAAACAGAACCATGTATACTTGGCTTTAGTAAAACTTCCCCTCATTGTATTTGTCGTTGCGATGGCCCTTGTGGTAAAATACCAACACTTTGGTTCTCCACAGCCACTTTTTGGATGGGTCCAATACCTGCTAAACCCCTGGAGTTACCTTTCCACTTCAAATAAACTATTGGAGGGCAGATCACTCTCCATTAGCTTATTGCCTGGTTTTTGCAGCTGATCGATGACTGAGGTACCGGAAGTAATGCAATTCCAGCCCCGTTCAGCAGGGAGGAGGTCAGTGAACGGATGTTCGCTGGTCTCTTTCCCCGCTTCCCGCCAACGCCCAACTTGCCAGTCCCAGGCCCGCAGGAGGGTGTAATGCTCCCTTGTAGTTCTGAGGCTATATTGGATCACAGCTGCCGACCAAATCCTTCTTTGGTTCCGTGTGTGGCAATCAGTCGTGAATCCCAGGCATCTCTCTCCCTTATGAACGGAGAGTTTGGAATTCTTGCATCATATACCACAAAACAAAAACAATAACGCCAGACCTAGTACTGCTTATTAATATCATAAGCTAGTTAGGTATCTTGCAAGTAAGGTTGGTACAAGGAAATCCACTTAGACAGTCTGAAAGTAAGTAAGGCAAATGAATGGTAATACTTTAACTGGATAGGTAACAGCCTGCTACCAAACAGTACCAAACACAGTACAGTTCCAATTGAAAGCAAACTGAACGGCAGAGAGGAAGTCTCAATAGACAAGATAGGAATCCGCCTCAGCACTAGTACTTGCTCTTAGTAATAGGACCCCCTGGTGTTCTCAGAGTTGGTGGAGTGTCCCGTGCAGTGTTGATCCTGGGTGGTAGAAGCTGTCGCAGGTAGGAGAGAGGATGAGGCTCCTGGATTGTTGGGGCATAGAACCCAATAATGGAACGCCCTACCTTCGTTCTGGAGCTCCTTAAATAGTCCGTGGACGCGGAAGTGGCGCTATGCAGCGTGCTGACACTTCCACGTTCCGCCCTGGAACGCAGAGGAGCGCCACCACCAGAAGTGAAGTGCGCAGTATGACGCGGCCGATGCGTTCCAAGCTGGGAAGCAAGCGGCTCGCGGTTCCCGGATTCGTTACAGAGGGGCAGCAGAGCCCGGGAAGCAAGGCGTTGTAGTTGGGCGGGGGTAACACCTCAGCAGGCTGTGGAAACAATCTGGTGCAGCTGAGCCGCCGACACATGTAAACAGAGTCCCTGTGGCTATAGCCACCAGGAGTCTGTTTAGAGGGGCCCGCTGCCAGCGATGTATGACATACGTTGGTAGCAGCGAAAGGGTTAATCAGCATTTGGAATACCTAAAATCCCTTTGACTTTAATATTACTTTAAGCTGGTCATACACCAGAAGAAAGCAGTGAATGTAATATTCACTGCAGATAAATCAATCACTGTAATTTAAAACACATACAGCAGGAAGATACACCTGCAGTTCATAGGCCCTATAGACCCTGCGTTTTCCAAGAATATATGGTTATTTAGCAAATTGTTGGTATTGCCACTTTTTCAGATTTGATGACTTGGAAATACTGATATTTAAAACATATGCAGCAGGAGGATACACCTGCAGTGCATATTTGCAAGGTTATTCACAAAAGGGTGAAGAATTTGGAGAAGGCAGGAGAAGTGAACAATCTAGGCCAAAATAGCTGATTTGGAAAAATTCTCCAATTCAGCTCACTTTCCAGTTCAGCTATGTTGTCCTAGATTGTTCACTTCTCCTACATTCTCCAAACTCTTCCCCCTTTTGTAAATAACCCTGTTGGTGATTGTCACATTTATTTATGAATCGGCCCCTAACTACACGAAATCAGGGCTGGAGTCAGGAGCCAATTTTACTTGAACATTACAGCTGGCTATTAACTTTTGAGATTTCCTATAGTTTTCAATGGCGATGGCTTCTAGAAAAAAATCCTGCTGGCCGCTTGGATTGGACAGACCGGCTCCTGAATTATATAGTGATTTGTCCACCCCTAAATACAGGCCAAAAAAACACACAGCCTGTAAAAAAAAAAAAAAAGAGGACTTTTTTCACTTCACGTGGACCTTTATATAATACATAATCCTTTATTTGAGTTTATATAATTACATATGAAAGTTATTAAAATGGACCTTTACCCCCTTTAACTAAAAATCACATCAGCATACAGCTCTGCAAGCTGTTATGAAATCATCTTACATTCATTAGCTAAACAAACATATTTTTACTTACAATTACTTTTTTTTCTACTTCCTGGTCCACTTTGGCTCAAATGATGGAATTGTGCCCAAGCATTGCATCCTGGGAAAGGTACATCAGCAGAGCATTGCTGGGAAATCTCATCTGTAATCTCTATGAGATCTCATGGAAAGGCACTTTAATCCCCTAAGATGATGTGCATGGTCACATGTCCTAGTCACATGTGCAAGAGTTTCAGGAAGTAAAGGAGGTGGATTCAAC